TTTTTTGGCCCCCCCCCCCCCCCCCCCCCCCCCCCGTTTCCTTCCCTCCCGACGGTGCTGCTACTGCTGCTGTTGTCTTTTGTTAATCGCGTCGCCTTTTTACAATCGCGCCGCTCCCTCTCTGTTACTGTACCTCTCTTCGTCTCTGTCTTATCTCTTGTCTCTCTCTCTGCGACGGCAACACCGCAGGTTTACCGACAGAAAACGATCGTGCCCGCCTGAGGCAGGCGTTGTGTCCGGCTCCGTGGATCTCTGCCTGTTGCCTCGGATGGAGATTCTCAATGTCCAAAGCCGGTGGTTGAATGTAAGCCTTAGCCTTTGGTATCAGGCCCCACAGTGTATGCGATTGTAGTAGAGGGCGATACTCGTCTGCTTGCTGCCCGTCGTGGTGGTGAGTGTTTTTTTGTTTTGTCCGCTTGTGAATCATGGCGTACCAGCCACTAAGCTGCCTGTTGCCAGAGATGGATTGGACGGACACGCTCTTGCGTGTGCGCAAAAGAGGCCCAATGATGACGATAAATTTGTTGTTGTCGGTTCACAACGATTACAACGACTTTATTGTCATGCAACCATCTTGATGTTTTTAACGATGGCGACGATTTTGTTGTCATCCAACCTTTGGTATTGGGTTTTCTGGATACGTTTTTCTTTTTTTGGTTGGTTGATTTCCCTGTCTGCGTGTGTGCTTTAAAATGTTGTTTTTTTCGCTTTCGACCACACGACCCGCGTACCTTACCGGTGGGACGGGACGCGGAATACGCACCGCAGAGGCGGGTTTGCTGTGTTGTAGAGGCCTTCCGTTTTCCTCAATTGTGACGACAACAACGCCCGACAACCATACCGCTGACCAATGTGTGGCTGTCTGTGCGTGCCCCCAGTTCGCGCCAACACTGCCCCCAACATGAACGAACGCCATGCCGCACGCTCACACGCCTGCTGTCGCGATGCATCTGCGCGTACCCCCCGAAACGCACGCCTCAACGAACGCCATGCCACCACCACCACCAGAGCCGCATCTGTCTCCTGCAGCACAAGATAGCCCTGGTGGGCACGGGTACCGGGTCTGTGGTGCTGCTAGAGGGGCTCCCCGGCGCCGGAAAGACGGAGGTCCTGAGCGTCTTCGCCGCCCGAACGATGCCTCGGAAGGCGCTGATTCACTTCACGGCCGCGTCGCCGTACCACGTCAACAAGGGCTTCGGCGGCTGGTCCATGGTGCTGCAGCAGTACCTGGACTCGCTCTACAAGCAGGAGGTGGGGTTTTGGTTTTGCGTGGGGGGGTACCGGTTTTCTGGTTGTTGATACGTTCGTTCAGAGGGGAGTACTTGTTGTGCCATGTCCGGGTCGATGTAGCACGTGTGTCGGACCGGTTTTTTATGGCGTGGCAGGTGTAGGTAAGCGTCTGTGCTGAGGGGGGTAGTGCGACAGCAGCAAGTAGCGAATGCGGGTCAGGGTAACCGCTAACCATGTTTGTTGGCCAACTTCGAGACGTAAGAGGGGGTGAGAGCTTGTCCGCGAGAGAATCGCCGCGGCAGTCCGTTGTCGTACGAGACGATTGCTGTTGTTTGTCTAGGCGACAATTACTTGCACTGAAGTCGAGTTGGTAGTGGGTACACATGGTCAAGCACTTATCGGTGTACTCATGCTCCTGTAGACCAAACCACTGTTGTAGTTTCCGTTGCCACGCTGCCGGAGGAACGACCTAGCGATGCTTGTCTCTCCCCCCTCCCCTGCTGTCGGGCCACGTGTGCGTCCCTCCCCCCCGGACCCCACATAGGTTGTAGCGGGAAACCAAGACTTTAGCGGCCACGGCGGTGTGCGGCGGCCCTCTGTCCCCCCGGTCGCTAGCGGTGGTGAGCAGGCCAACGGGGCTAGCATTCTGGGGCAACAGCCGCTGGGCGGCAGAGATCGGGTAAGGGGATACATTGCCGTGAACGTCGGGAACGGGGGGGGGGGGGGGGAGGGGTTTTCTGTTTTCTATGTGTTTTGGATACCGTGCGCTCACTGCGGGATCCGCGAAAGAACGGAGGGAGGGCAGCTCCATTGTCCGCTGTTTGTTTTTCGTCGGTGGCGTGAACACCCCACGACACCTCTGACCTTCTGCATCTGTTGCATCTGCTGCTGCTGCTGGTGCTGGTGCTGCTTGTTCGGTGTTTGATCCTGCTTACTCTTATTATCCCCGCTGCGTGCCAAGATGCTCCTGAGAGAACTGGAGGGTTTCCCCGAGATGCATGCGTACGCCTTCCTCGTGAACGACGTCCTGGGCACCAACATCCCCAACAACAGGCAGACCTGGGACACGTACTCGAGGCAAGCTCACCCACAGAGTTTTACACGACACTCGGAAACCGTAAGCAAAAAGAGAAGAAGAGAGGAACGCCCTTGATTTCTTTCCGAGACTGACTGCTCAGGTTGAAACTCTCCGTAGGCGTGTTGGTGCGGTGACCGTGGTATGAGACGAAACGGTACAATACCCGCCGCTCACGTAAACACACATTGATGTGGAGACAGCAACAACAACAGCACGACAGCAGCATGCCCACCCCGTGGCTTTTCAGGACCTTCTCGTTCGCATTCAACTAAAAATGCGAATGGCAAGTGACAACCAAAGAACTCGCTTGTTGTTGTTGTATTTGTACCCCCCCCCCCCCAAAGAGGGCCGCCCCCCCCCCCCCCT